TAAAAAAATGATATCCTGCTTATCACTGAAGCAGCTCCAAATGAAACTACATACACAGGCTGGTTTATCACACCAGTGTCACTCACTTTGAACCCTCAGCTGAATCAGGAATATGCATTTAGAGAAATGCTTTGTCATTCCACTCATTCTTTGAACTGAGTGACTTGCACTTTTTGTAATTTAAAACATGCATGCAGTGGAAGCAAATGAACCAAAGTAAAGAAAAACGTCGCACCTATCCACAAATTTTGAGTACACATTGTTGATGCTGAACTTGTCATACTCCATGAAAATGCATAAAGTGTTCAAATTAATTACTCTATTCTGCATTTGTATTACGGGTCATTGAATGGAAGCTGGTATTCAGAAGCTATAGATTCAAATTTAATTGAATGTATTCATGCGAGCCTTCATAAATTTTTTTATAAATTAGGGGCAAACACCCCCTATTCAAAGTGATGGTCTTGAGCTTCCACCATCAATGAAAGCTTGTGCCACTTGGAAATATTCAGCTCCTTGTACCAATATTGTACAGCTGTGCAAAACTCAAATTTTCATTGCATATTTTAAAAATTTTGCACAGTCATGTCACACCTATTTTCATGGTATTGCTTGTAATCCCTATTTTACAAAGGATTGTGAGTCAGGTGTTTAAAAATAATACTCTTTATTTTATACACCAGAACATAAACACAAACACAAACAGGTGAGAGATACTCTCAGGTCAATTCTAGAAAAGAAATGTTTAGCCTATCTTCCTCCCAGTCTCAACCCAAAATACACTCTGAGTCTGCTAAATGGGAAACCACCATTTAAGTAGACTCAGTTCACTAAACAAGCAAGAGTGAAACACACAATGTCACAATTGTCTCACACAAGAAATGGGGATCAAGGAAAAGGTCAAACCAAACAATTGGATTTGCTAGAACAAGGAAATGTCCACCCATCTACCAGAATACTAAGTAGGTAATATTCCTTCTCATTTCATGAAGAGGACTACTAAACAGGATATGAGACAAAGGGAATATTGTATTCCCTCTTTCCATCCTTCTTCCAAATAACATCAGGAAAAATCCTGATGTTTAACCCATGCTGCTCTCAATATTAATGAGGTTTTGGAAAAGGGGCATAAAATAAGTAAAACACTTTTTGGGATAACATGCTGAACAATTTTGTCCAATTATCATGTCTATTTTCGAGGCCTGTAAAATGTTGTGCAGGCTGTGGTCATTGAAGTCAGCAAATGAATGACATCTGTGTAAGAAAACCTGGAAATAATGGTCAATAATTATTCACTCTTGAGGATAGATGCAACAGGAAAATTAAAAAGGCTTTTCAAGAATGTCATGATCTGTATTATATCATCAGTTTAGCTTTTGTAATAAAAGTTATCATACATGGCACAAACAATGAAAGCAGTTTATTTTGTTTGTGGGTATGTTTATGATGGGTACCTGATTCATTAGAGGATTTGTATATGAAAGTTTGCAGTTCAGTTCTTTTAGTGGCAAATTCCTGACAAGATGAAAAAAAATAAGAGCAATAAAAACCAGGATCTCACATTTAAGTATCTATAAGTTCTCTGAGATTTAAGAATGGATAGTAGAAAAAGATCTATGGAGACATTCTGGTCAAGTTACTCAAGTATAATCACTCAAGAAAATTCCTATCCTGTGCTTTTCTGGCAACAAAATATAGAAAATCAGGGGATATAGAAAGAAGATAATGCAGGCAAAAGAGATTAGATAAGTCAAGTGCATTAAGCTTATGTGGGTAGTTTCCATCACATACAACCAACTTTCCTTGTCTGTATCTTCTAGCTGTAAAGCAAAACATTTATAGGAGTGTCATTTAAGTCACATCTGTGGTGGTTAAATTTTGTTCCTATGGTTTCAGTATTGTTATATTTATGGTTTTAGGAATTCCATTTTCACTTTATCTCAAATTGTGTTGTGCTCTCAGCAGGGTGATCTGGGTGAATTGCCCAAAGATGTAAGCCTCCAGATTTGTGCTTGTCCTCAACACTGGGCATCATTTAAAGGAATAAGAAGAAACATGCAATTCAAAACAAAGTTGTTACAATGCATTAAATATGGAATAATGCTTTACCTGGTGGTGTCATTCCTGTCTAATTATCACTCAGGGATTGAGAAGCTCCACCAATGTTTTGGGCACCCATTGGCTCTATGTCCACTTGGTCTCATTCCATCAAGTATGCATGTTGCCTCAGTGTTTCATCATTTATTATTTCTGAACTGTTTCAGATTACTGTTTTTCAGCTTATGAGAGAAGAATTCATTCTGGAGATGATGGTGGCTATGAAGTAAGGCTGGAGAATACAACCTGGGAGGAAGTCATTAACTGGCATCAAGATGTGCTAAATGGTGGAAGTTTTTCTCCAAAAACTTGCACTTCTGCTTACAAACTGGCATTGATTGTGCCTTACAGAGACAGAGAAGAGCATCTCAAGATTTTTCTATTGAATCTCCACCAGCTACTCAAATATCAGCTCATGGAATACAGGGTATTCATTGTGAACCAAACTGGTATGAATTAGATTTTACCGTCAGCCAAATTTTGGTTAAAGCACTTTCCCTGTCAAGAAAATATTCTTTGATTATAAGAAACCTACCTTTAGTGACTTAACTCAACTATAAAGAATAACATTAAAATTGAAGAAGTTCAATATTGCACTGAAATGAAAAGGCCTGTTTCCATCAGTTGCACTAATATGATTTTTTGCACATTTCTCCGCTTCAATGTTTGGTGAAGCATTGATANTTTCTTGGGATTTTTTTAATGCATAGAAATTTTTTGGGTGTCTGCCAAAAAAGGTGTTCACTTTTTATATTTAGTCCCATAATTTCAAAAATGGTAAAAATATCCTAGATTAAATTAAAATTTCTCTTACATTTTATTTTTTTTCCAGGTTCATTGATGCAAATTTCCCACTTATGAGGTACCCTCCTCATGTAGGAAGGTACAGATCACTACCTCATGTTCAAGCAAAGGAGAACCTCAATCGGTAATCTTTCAATAGCCAGCAGTGATACTCAAATTTAAAATTAATTTATGGATTACTTTTTAATTTTCCCCATATTGTTGCAGGCATCAAATTGCAAAACAGGAGGATGCCAGAAAGCATGACAATGGGCTTTCTGATGCGAATTACACTGTGATGGACATTCGATTTCATGAACTGTTTACAGTCTTTGATGTGTACTTGGGATCCAATACAACGCATATCTGATACAGTGGTGAATACCATGCTGTAAAAAGTCTCATAATTCACTTCTCTGTGGATTTCCTGAAGGGAAAAACTGACATATGAGGGTTTTAACAAAAGTTCTTGGAGTAGCAATGAAAATGGCATACAATTGAGCTGAAAAAAAATTTATTCTCTAGCCAAAACATATTCTTTGGCACACACAAAAAATCAGCCCGGTTTGACAATTTTGTTTAAATTTTTTGCAAAATTCATCCATATAGAGTTTTGCACAAGGAATTACACATTTCCACACAGACTCATTTTGGCATGCTGGATTTTTGGGCATGGACATGAAATGATCTGAACACCAGCAGGGGTTTAAAAATATTTTTCTCATGTTCACTAGTTCCAAGAGGTTAGGCAGACACCTTCTCATATGTCATCATCACCAATTTTTACACACTTCTCAGCCCTTTTCATTGATGTGTTGAAATAGGCCTTGAAATTTTAAATTTTGAAGCTTCCCCAAAACAGCAGCAACAGCTAGCTGATTTGCGCAGAGCCATGTAACCCCTTGTATAACCCATTCATAAACTAGCCAAGAAAACAGAGATACTATAATGACCATATTGATATGTATTTATTTGTTCATCACATTTAATCAGTTACATATTTTACATCCTTTAATCAGTTACATATTTTACTTCCTTTAATCAGTTACATATTTTACTTCCTTTAATCAGTTACATATTTTACTTCCTTTATTCATTTCCATAAATGTATCACATTTTGCATACTTAATGAGATTGTGTATCAATGGGGGAAAATGGGTCAGCAAAAACAAATGTATTTCACAATTCTTGATTTCCAACTGCATACAATTGGGGCAGGTGCACATTCAACAAGCACTCAATGCTACAGAACCTTCAAAAACCCAGCACCAGAAATGCTGGATGCCTATAAACACAAATACAATGATGATTGAACAACTAAACTCAAAGCGCAAGAAATGAATGAGAATGAAAAACTCATATTTTGAAAATATGGGATGCATTCTTTTCAGCATTATTCTCTAAATTTTGACATTACATGGGATCATCAGTGATTTGAAAAATGCATGTCTGCACTCCTTCAATATTGACCTGAAATAATATCCATAAATAATATATACATAATGTGAAAAAAACTTTTTGGAGCTCATCCTCTGACATGACCCATTTCATCTTTGGCTCCTTCCAAAATTTTCAGCATTTCTCCATGAATTTCTTTTGGCAACCTTGTGTTCTGGACAATTTCTTGGAGGAGGTTGATACTCTTGCATCTCTGGATAACCCGGTACAAAATTAATATCCTGCAAAAATAAAAACTCAAATCAGGCATTGTTTATCCCTCTCTCTGTGGATTGAAAATATAATCTTCTGATTATTTATTTATTTTTCAAGTCATAAATTTACCCCAATCAATTCGCCGGCTTCATTCAGGCAGACTCCCAAGGCAGTGTTTTGCAGCCCAGCCAGTTTTTGAAACATTTCCACAGTTTCTGGTCCCCAAGGAGAGTATTTTCTATCTAAGAACTGATTCCAAGTTGTGTTTGCATCCACCATCCATTGAAGTGAATTCCTAAGTGGAATCAAAATTTCAGCAATATGTTGTGTTTGATGCGCCAGAAAAATTAACATTGCATTTGGAAATGTATCAGTTGAACAAGAGTCTTGATTTTTCAAAGTTGAAAAGGATTGTTGTGTTACACCATCAATTCTATGGCTCATAGGCTAATTTCCTAACTTTTGCCAACCTTCAAGAGGAGGATTGGAAAAGGTGTGGACAATTTTTACTTCTAGATTTGCTCCCTTTATTGGGCATGCACGCTAACGTACAATATAATACCTAAAGTTTGTAGAAATATCCTCCCCTCCTCAAAATCGCAGTGTCAGGCACATCCTGGTACCTGCTACGGTGTCAGGATGTGCCTGGCACCTTAGCATCCTCAACAATTACTTTTTCCTGTCTTCATTGGAATAGTAAAACCTTATTAAGGTTATTTATTGTGAATATTATATAAGCCGCATCCTCATATTCTCTCATTAGATCAGTTGCAATTCAGCTGTGAATTTATTCCAAGTTATTCAAGCCCAAGCTCGTTGAGTTGTTATTCATTTATTTGTTTATCCCTGAAATATATCTTACTCTTAAACTAGGAAATCCTAAAAGGAATCCTGGTCCTGTCCTGGACTGATTAACTTGTTTTATTCATCCAACACTCGACACTAAATTATATCGGAGACTTCTGTCCTCAATACCCTTCAAGTTGGGTGTGTCCCAAACCAGGTACACAAAGTGCCTTTAAGTGAAATAGGGTAATTACACAATCTTTCTTCAGGCTTGTATTTTTATTATTCCATCAAAATATACTATACTGTATTGCATTTGGCAAATATATAACAATCTCTGCTTCTTTCAGAGGAATATAACCTTTAAAGATACAGGGGAAGATTTGTGTCCTTTTATTAACTTTTGAAGAGCCTCAAAGGAATGATGTTGCAAGGATTTGAATTGACAATGTGGGAGGGTAAAGAAAGCACAGATTTCTCTCAGCAACAGTGTGTTTGGTGGCCATTTAATATTCAGTTGGGGTTCCACCACCAGCAGCAATTTATAGAATGTACAGTATATATTTTAGAGAGGCAGAGTTGACCTTGTGCAGCCATCCTGCATTAATGAGCAGGTGGCAGAACCAGCATTAAAACCCAGAGGGGTTTGAGGAAAGTTTGAAAAATTTAGCACAGCTGATAACAGGATACATAGAAGAGCCCTGACCCAATTTTCTGTTGACAGAAAATCAACTTTTCTCCAAATAAAGTGGGTCTTGCATGAGGAAACGAATCCATTCCTTCATGGATGCATTTCTAAAGATTATACTGTACATGCAAAATTCTGAAAATGCCTAATTGAAATGTTAAAAAAGTTGATGTGTCTAAAAATGCTCAAAATGTTTGTGTGAATTTTGACACATTTTTCCCTAAATTCATAAACTAAAAAGAAACTCACCCATTGGGGTACAAGTCAGGGAATCCGAGTTCGGCTTGAATCGTGTCAAAATCAAACATGGTGAAGCATTTCAAAAGCTCTGACTTGGGATAGTAGTTCAAAAACGCGAGACACATCTCATCATCGGTTCCCCAACCACCAGATGTCACTCCAGTCTTTCCCGTGGAGTCCATGGTACATTCTGTGAGAAAAATAAATCTTTGTGCCATTCGGTCTGCTCTCAAGAAAACAAACATCGCACAATAAAATATTTGATAACCCTAATAGAATACATTGTTACATTTTCAAGCTTTCCTTCAAATGCTGTGTGACTGCTGTACATTGGTAATCAATAATCAATGCAAAAATTTCAAAAACATAAAAAAACCGCAATCGTTCATCCTGGAAATTGAAAGACATTTTTGAAATTTTAAGCTGGTGATTTTTAATTTTGAAACTGCTGTGAAAGTGTGAATATATTCCAACTCGTCGTTGTATCAATTAATAATTCAGTTTCGAGGGGCAGAAAGTTGCACTGTTACCATGACCAATTTTTCAAATCGTAAGGAAAATTGCCACTGAATAAAAATTAAGTTCATATAAAATTTTCTCAGAAATACACGTCTGCTTAATGATACCCACCCAGGATGAGAATGTCTCCAGGGAGCAGCTTTTTCTCCTCTGGGAAAACCCGAAATTCCTGGTACTCAAAGTCATAGTGGTCGTCATACTGGAACCAGGGTTCTTCAATTCCATTTCTGACCAGCCTCAGCTTCATTTGTCTCCCTGAAAAAAAAAACAAGGAAGTTACAGAAAAAATTAAAACAAAGAAATCAATATGGCCATGAACTTGTTTCAGTTTTAATTTTATGAAAAAAATATATACTTGCCAAGAAGGTGTGAATGCAATTGGCCCGAAAACACTGTGATTCCATCTGAAGGCAAGCCATTCTGAGTGCACTGGGCAGTACAGATAGCTGAAGTGGTGAAGCTTTTCTGGTTTGGAGGAATAATCTGATGGAGATGAAGAATATTTTTCAAAAATCAGAATACATTTGGATTATTTGTCACAAAAATTATTGATGCATTTATTGCCACCAAAACTGGTGTACAAGTGGTACCCTACAATTCAGCCCTAATCCATTGCTGGTTAAGGGTATAATTGCAAAGTGATTGAATTGTAAAACAATGTCAATGTTATGCTCTCTGCATGCAATTTCACATTTTGAGTCTCCCTACAGGTTGAATTGCACAACAAGAGATCAAATTGTAAGTCAAAGTCCCAGAAAATTTGACTGTCAAATTTTGGGATGGTCAAATTGCAGGATGTCAAATAATTGCATGTCAACATCCCAGAAAGTTTGACTGTCAAATTGTGGGATGGTCAAATTGTAAGCCAAAATCCCAGAAAGTTTGACTGTCAAATTGAAGGATGGTCAAATTGCAGGATGTCAAATCCAAGGTACCACCTGTACTGTTCTCCTGGTGCAATGGAGCCCAGCACATGGACACCACAACATGTAGACAAGTTGACTTGAATCACTTCAAATTTACACAAAAAACAGCTTAAACATTTGGAAAATGTCTCAAAATAGAAACTACTTTGTCAAAGTTTTCAAAAAAATTGAAATTTTTACATGCATATATGCCCCTGGGGCAATTGAGTCAGTGCCATGAACAAAAATTCAAGATGAAGCTGTATTGGATTTGTTTTATTTAATTGCCAAACAGTTTAGTTGTCTAGTACCTCTCTGTCTGAGGCTTATTCCCCATGCAATGTGGATGGTGTATAAACACATACTTTTGCCTTTTTGACTCCATTTCTAGCCAAAAGGGCAGTTCATGCTTTGTGCTGTGAAGTTAAGCCAAAAATCATTTTCATGTACATTTCCATGTAATTGATGTTCTAACTCTGGTAGATTCTTTTTTTTGACATTCCCATCCAATCTTCACTTATTCAACCACTTAGCCAAAAATCAACTTACCTGAATTGGAGTGACTGACATCCCAAGCTCCAAAACTCCCATTTCCTTTGGTCTGATGACATCTGTATAGAAAACATTCATCCCTGAAGAGTCCACAAATGTATCAAAAGTTGGGTTATTGTAGTGCATCTCCATCATAAGATAAGATGGTCCTTCTGACCTCAGCTTCATTGGGAACCCAACATCCCCAGGGTACATAAGGGCCTGACAATAAAATGAAAATAAAAAATGAAAATGTTCTGTTCAAAGATGATGAATATTTTTTCTAAGTGAAAATGCCTGGACTTGAAATTCGTGAGGGTTTTCCTGAACTTTTCAGAGTATTAACATAATAATGGTACATATGAAAAAATGTGCTCATTTTAAATTTAAAGGATTTCCTCTGGCACTTCCTCAAAGTCATGATGATAAAAATGGGAATAATTTTGAAATCACAATCAGCAAGGGGAAGATAGAGACAAATAACTTCTGAATAAGTCACATATGTTGATACAGTGAACCCCTG